GGTTCTAGATCATATGCCACCTCCTGAAATGGATGAAGATCGACCAGTTCTTTTTGGTATAGTGACTCTATGTACTCCTTCCATCTTCTTTTGAGGCTTCCTGCATCATTCAATATTTTGCCCATAGAATCTTTCAATATTGCAACTTGAGGCTTAAATTTTGTCCTCAGTTCTTTTAGCTTGGGAAATGCCAAGAGTGTTCTTCCCTTTTGGTTTTCTAACTCCAGGTCTCTGCATTTCATTATAGTAATTGGCTTTGTCTTCTCAAGCTGCTCTTTGAAATCTTCAGTTCAGCTCTTTTATCTTGTCATTTCTTCCATCTGCTTTAGCTACTCTCCACTCAAGGGCAAATTTCAGAGTCTCTTCTATCATCCATTTTGGTCTTTTCTTCTTTTGTCTTTTTAGTGACCTCTTGTTTTCTTCATGGATGATGTTCTTGATGTCATTCCACAGTTCCTCTGGTTTTCGGTCATTGGTGTTCAATGCATCAAATCTATTCTTTAAATGGTCTCTAAATTCAGGAAGGATATATTCAAGATCATATTTTGGCTTTCGTGGACGTGTTTTAATTATCTTCAATTTCAAGTTGAACTTACATATGAGCAGTTGATGGTCTGTTCCACAATCAGCTCCTGGCCTGGTTTTGGCTGAAGATGTTGAGCTTTTCCATCACCTCTTGCCACAGATGTAGTCAACCTGATGCCTGTGTGTTCCATCTGGCAAAGTCCACGTGTATAGCCGCCATCTGTGTTTGTCTCCCTTAGCTGTTCCCAGAGGCGAGGTTACTGTATTCTAATCACCTGTGGCCCCAGTGCCTAATACAAAGTGAGCTCTCAGCAAAGATTCTCTTCATGAAAAAGTGAAATAGTTCCTGGGCAGCAGAAATGTGAGCAGACCACCAGAGGTGGAGACGAGAGGAAGAGGAGCTGGCCAGGATTACAGACTGAGCAGTAGAGACAGAGAACTCTAAAGGAAAAACCCCTCCATGCTACTTGCGCTCCTCCCTTCTCTCACATTCAAA